CTACGTAATCCGATGAACAACCTGAGGCATATTTTTGTATCTGCTTGCGCTGAAGTAGTAAAGGCCCTGATATTCGTCTCTCGTTCGATTGAAGTGCCATTCACTTAGACATTGCAGAGTCAGAGGCTTGAACCCCCATTCAAATTTATTGGCAAACAGTTTGATAGTACTGGTCAATTCTCGCAGGTCTCCAGGGCCGAATACGCACACTGACCGAAGCCACTTGCCATGGCAACTCTGCGGATTGACGTTTCTCCAGAGTTTATGGCGGGAAATAAAAGGTTTCTTTTCGATGTTGGTGCCTGAAAAATAAATTTTAGAAAGTTTAGTCTTATATCTAATTATATGTGTGATATAACAGGAAATAATAAAAAGAATACCAAGTGTAATAGTGCAACAACTCTAAGCAGAAGCTTGTGAAGCTTTATTTGACTAATTAAAAATTATTTTATTTTAATGGACGCTGACAAGCGAGAGAAGAGATGAGACGTGCTTATTTTAGTACTACATCAAATAAAGGAATTTCACATAAAAAATTATTTTACTGTATTTGCCCAACACTCAAGAGAAAAAAAAATACAAAAGAAAATTGCGGATAGTAGGAGGAATACTTGACATTCATCACCACCATCACAAATAAACAAAGGGAAGTAAATCATCCAAAAATTAACTTATAAGCGGAAATAAAAATAAAATAAAATAAACAGTAACTCAAAAATTACCTCAGTATTTAAAATGTCATGAAATGTAATATTTTTCATATTTTTATTTCTTTTTTTTTATTTCAAAATATATATTAACACGGGGAAATTGGCCAAGGAAAAACTCACAACTGAACAATGAAGCAAGATCATTGAATTGTGTTTTTGATTTAAACAGTCCATCTAATTTCGTGAAGTTACAAGAATTTATGGTGACCAAATTTTCCTGACTTGGCACATTGTAGTGAGAAAACGAACACAAGTGTACCTTAACTGAAGCTTTACTGGACTTACTTAAAATCAGCATACGTATAAGGGGAGACAATCCATATCACACACATCTTGAATATTTTTTAATGGTGGGGTTATCTTAAGGTGTGTGTACAGATTGCAGACAATTCAACAATCCAAGGATAACATCTTTGCAAAAATTTCAGGACTGCAACCATTATTATTACCCACTCGTACGGGGATTCCTATTAAAAGAGTGTATCAATGTGAAATCAAAAATAGATGTTGTTTATTATATTATAATTAAATGGAAATATATTTAACTCTGTATAAAACAATTTTGAATAATAGAAAATAATTGTTGAAATTACTAGATCTTTAAATCTCTAGGTGACTTCTGCCACACCCTGTCTATAAAGTCATCGTCACCGTCGGCACTCGATTGCATCTGAACATCGAGTTCGTCATCCTTTCTCCTTATTCCGTGGCGATGGTGGAGACGGCTGTGAAGGCCCAGCCTTCTCCTGAAGAGTGGTGAGCTGGATTCACGGGGGAGTGTGGGTCGTGGACGCGGCTGAGCAAGTCAGGCCCTCCTGACAGTTTGTTGCAGATCCTCTTTATGTTGACAGTTGGACTCGAAAACCTCGGTACTCACTCTCCAGATGGTCCTACACCAGGAAGGCCGATTTCCAGCAACGGTTTCCCAACTCTCACGCTCGATGTTGGCCTGCCTCAGGGATGCCTTCAACTAAATCCTTGTAGCGTCGTTTTGGATCTCTGCGTAGCCTCTTGACACGTGACCCGCTCAGCGGAAGTGGTGTTGAAGGATATTAGTTTATGGCTCTCTGTCTCACATGTAAAATGACATGCATTGTCATTACTTATAGTAGATACTAATAGTAAATAGCTAGTATTGTGATATTGTATTGTGTATATATATCTATATATATAGTATTGTGCATAATTATCAGGCGTTTTTAAACAATATTTATTATGAAAACAGAAGCATAACAATTCAACAATAACATTTTTAAATGATTATTCTGGAGCGTAGTCACCATCTATTTCATTTTTATAACTTGAAAATAAAATGATTTTCCTTAAAAAAAACAAAGAAAACTGTAATTTTTATTGATAAATAATTCGGCTACAAAACGCCTGATAATTATGCACCAACCCAATAGTTAATTGAAAAACCTTGGATTAATTGTATTAATAAGGCAAGAGGTTATTAGCCTGCGAAATGATGCCAAATATTTTAGGCCACCCTGTATATATATATATATATATATATATATATATGTGTGTGTGTGTGTGTGTGTGCATGTGTGTGCATGTGCGTGTCTGTGTGAAAGATCGATCAGTAAGTCCGTAGCCACAATGAGTTTTTTTGGAGCGATTTCTTTTTAATTTAAACTTTTCACATTATAATTTTAAGAACATATATTGGGTTGGTGCGTAATTATCAGGCGTTTGTAAACAATATTTAATATTAAAAAAGAAGCATAACAATTCAACAATAACATTTTTAAATGATTATTCCGAAGCGTAGTCACCATCTACTTCATTTTTATAACTTGAAAATAAAATAAGATTTTTATTAAAAAAGTAAACAAAATAGCAATTTTTATTGCCAAGTAACTCGCCTACAAAAAACGCCTGATAATTATGCACCAACCCAATAGTAGAATGACTTATGACCACATCACGTTGAAACAATGGTTTCCATGCGATCACCCAAGTTATGTAAGCATGTAGCTGCGTAGTGAGCCTATTATCACTATTTCTTCCTTTGGGGTCATCTCAACAGTAAGGTCTATACCAACAAGCCAACAACAATTCAACAGCTGAAGGCTGAGATAAGACATTGCGGTGAGATCGATGCAGAGACGTCATCAAATATTTTGACCATCGATTGGAGGTCTGCCGCCAAAGCCTTGGCGGGCATTTTGGCGATATTATTTTACACACATAATTGCCATGACTTAAATAACATGAACTAATAGAGAAATAAATGAATGTTCACCAATAACACTGATTTATTTACTGCTGACTTTGATCCGTCTTAATGAAACACTCTTTATATTAAAACATATTAAAATATATTTAGGAAAAATGAATTAAAATAAAATTACTCACTATAAAGTGGTGAATAAAAAATACAACAAAAAGGGCTATTGTTCTTATATTTGTTGTTTTGATAACAACATTTCGGTCGTAGTGCCCTTCGGCCTTTCTCATGTGTATATCGATCTGCGTAATCTACAGGTAAATCTGAAATGAACCCTTTATTTAATATGCAGGGGTAGATTATTCTCGTTCCTATGCTCATGTCACGAGATGTCGTCTAGTTCTTATGTTTACATATTATTGTTCAGTTACTGCTCGTCTATTTCCACTGATTACCAGTACACACTGACCGACCCAGGGATTGAACTCACAGCCACTTAGTGGGTAAAACTCCGAATAAAACCCCGGGTAAAAGACCGAATATAAATAGCGTAAGCAATAATAATTCCTCAACCCAGACAAAAAAAAAAAAAAAAAAAAAATCAAAAAACAAAACAAAAAAAAGTAGTAATCGGTTATCTCTTCTCGCTCTTCAGAGCTCAATCGAGGACAAAACATATAAACATGTGCTCAATGGCTAAAATGGTGGGGGGATATTATCAGAGAATCAGCGGTATAAATCACAGATTACATTTCGACTCAGCAACCATTCTTTCTTCTTTGTTTTAATAATATCTGTGTATATATTTATATATAGTTTTAAAATGCCCGTTTTTAAAGCCCTAATATAATTCTGTTCCCCACATTTGAGTATAAATTTTAAGTCAAGCAGAATGACCGCCAAAATTTACAAGCTGTTAACTTGGAAGTTAGAAAGTGAAATTTTCTTTTCTTTTTATATATATTGTTATATAATTCGATTCTCTGTTAATGAAGCTTATAGAGAAATTTCTTAATTCCCATTAAAAATGTCCCAAAGAATACGATACGACTTACGAAATTGAAATTCGTAATATGGGGTTCTTTTTTCATATTTTACTATCGAATAAGCACCCCGGATTACGAATTAAAAAAAATACATTTTAAGAAAATACATCGTATTAGTATATTTTTTTTTTGACTTTCGTAGGGGGTTTCAATTTACAATGAATTTATCTAGTCAACGGAACCTCCCATTAGCTTTTTATGAAATTTAATAAAAAGAAATCGTGATATGAAAAAAAAAAAGAAAAGATTATTTCAAAGTAGCAGTACCTATTATATAACTCCACCCAACGAATCCATTAGAATGGGCGTCACGCATTTTTCATAATATAAAGATTTTTATTTTTTATTTATTTTTTTACAGTAAGGTTCATCCTGTACAAGTCCAATCGAGGTAGAGTTTTACAATAAGGGGTAGTTTATATAGATAGGAGTAGAAGATAACATTTGACTCTAGACTTGAACAGATTAAGATTGTAGTGATCAGTGAAACATCCTTTAGGGAGTCTATTCCATAGGGCAGTGGGTTTGCGGAAAGTAGATATTTCAATGGAACTTGCTTCTCGCCGATAGAATCTGGCGGGAATGTGAGTGGTTTGTTACTATGTAAGTGGCATGGCGGGTTATATATAAAGCTGTTTTATAAAGTTTCTATATATGTATATATTTTATTATAAAATATATACATTCTTATTTACGTTATTTACATTCAGACTCTTATCTGCATCTTTATTGTTACTATCGTAATGTTTCGGCCATTTTGCATATCTCTCCGGACTTCTTTAGGTTTCTGTCGATCGGGTAACCTTCAGGAAATTTGATAGCGTTGCGGATTAAGGCGTTGTTTAATGAATTTGGTTGTGTAGTCATTGTGAGTTCAATCCCTGGGTCGGTTAGTACTGACTAAGAGTTAGTTGGGAACGGGTTGAGTAATAATTAAGTAGTAATAAAAAAGAACAAGACTTATATAACCCTGAATAAGTATAGTGGAGCGAGAGCAATTTACCCCGGTAGATTAAATAAAAGTTCAGTCCGAAAGGTTACCTGGATCGGCATGCATTTGAAGAAGTTTGGAGGACACAGTGACTGAAACGTGGTGATAATAACGATGAAGATGAGGATATTAGTCCAAATGTAAATTTAGATAAAGATATACGTTTTTGTTATAAAATATCGTTTTATCATAAAGCTAATAAGTTGTTCGGAAATAAATCTCCTTTTAAGTGTCATGTTTCTAGCATTATTTAAAATTTATGATTCCGACATATCAAAAGACACGGCATCTCTTTCCCACAAATGAAATTGTTCAATAATAAAGGGATGTCACTCATTTATCATTGATACATTAAGATTTCGTTTCGGGAATGGCTTGTGTGCATAAAAAAAAAATAAAAAAAAAATTAATGATGTCCTAGCTAATTGCTAAGATCAAGCTCCTACTAATCTGGAGCTTCACAGTTTTCAACAGCCTCGACAGAGTTCAAAAGCGTTTACGCGGCCTTCTGGGCGATGAACTGTTTTCCACCCTACAACCCCTTTCCACACAGACGAAACAATGCTAGTCTCCTGCTATTCTATCGTTATTTCCATGGCAAATGTTCAGGTGAACCACATTCCTTAGTTTCATTGGTCTAGATCTTCACAGCTAGAAGCCACCAAGCCACATACACAGATTCCATTTGTAGGGAGGAAGTTCCGCTCAGTTTCCTTCTAAGAACTGTTCCATTGTGAACCGACTCTCGACAGGATGCTTCCCCGATCACTACAATCTCAACTTCTTCATGTCTACGTTCAACTGTTATCTATCCTAATTATCATCAAAATATGCACCTCTTCCTCTCTTCCTGTACGCTCTTACAACAACCGCATTTAGTAGCCTTCTACCTTGAGTGGCTCTTGGGCATTGGATTGAGTAAACAATAGTTAAAAATCGTAATTTAAACAAGCAAGATCAGTTTGCAATAAAGATGAAAACCGATTGTTGTATATGTCCACTAGTTTTTATAATTTTCAGTTGTTATATGTGGAGAAGGTTGTAATGAACTGTTATCAACTGAATTGGACACCACTTGCTTCTTGTGAAGGTGCATATGATGTTGTAATAAAGAGATGTTTTATTGGAAGTGCAATACATGTCTACAATATGTGTCTATCGGAAAGACTCTGACTTGACTTACTAAATCGAACGCTCTTGGTATCATTGAACTGTTAGCCACTTATGCACCCTGCACCCCAAACAGAAGTGGCAGAAGGGGATACCATGGTTTCAATGTGAGTAGTTTAATTCAGTTATCCAACAACTACTTTTTTTGCTAATGTTCACTCAATGCAAGGCCAAAGAGCCACTCAAGGTAGACGGTTACTGAATGAGGTTGTTGTCTGAGCGTAAGAAGAAGGGGTAAGAAATGCATTCTATGCTGATATGAAGGAAAGATAACGGTTAACTCCAAGCCTGACGAAGGCCAAAATTGTAATAACCGGAAAAGCACACACTCAGAAGTTTGCTCTACAAAATAATGGTTATTGGGAAGAAGCCGTCCGAGTGGAAGTTCCTCCTTACTAATGGAATACAAAGGAAATGGGGGATGATTCGTCTCTTTGTACGGGGCATGGCGGATCTTAGCTGTAAAGATCAGAACTGGCGCAACTAAGGAATGTAGCGAGAGGGCTGAAACGTTTTGTCTGTGGGAAAGGGGTCGTGGAAAACAGTTCAGTATCCACAAGGCCGCGTAGACGCTTATTTGATTGTGTAAACACTTTAAAATGGTTACCTGCGAACGACCCGGGCACTTTGAGATGTGGGTTGTGGTTTAAGGATGTGAAGAGGGTTTCGTCAGGGTTTCTTGTATCTTTGACCCAATTGGTAAAATCCTGTGCTCGTCGATCGTTCAAGAGAAAGTTCACGTATCCACGTGACGCCGTTATGTGAATGCTGCCCTTAGACACGGTGATGTTATGGGGTGGTGGTCCCTTCTTCTGACGTGGCCGGAAATTGACAAAAACAAACTTTGTGCGAAATTCATATTCTCTGAAACGGCATACAAAAATATACTTACAGCAAAATTCGAATAAGCCATCATTAACATAAGTATACATACACTCATCTCCATTTGCACATATGTGAACACGTACAGTTAACACTGGAATTTTTTTCATGATTTTATCCTAATCAAGGCGATAAATCCCCTACGACGCAAGCGTTACTGAGGGTGAAAGAAACCGATAAAGCATTATTGAGAAGACGAGACAGTAATAGAACAGGATTCAAGGAGACAGATGACGATTGACGTTGCATTTAAATTTTTGAAGATTGTAGTTGACAGGTATGCAAGAAGCCGGAAAATAGTTCCACAGGTGTGATATATCAAAAAAGATGCTATTAGAACAGAACTTATGTTTACTTCGAGCAATTTGAATAGTAAAATGATAAAACCTAACTTCCAATCGAGTAATGCGCTTAAACTGGTGAAGACGAGATGCCAAAGAGGAAATGAAATGAAATATTTATAGAAAAAGTACAGGGAGGCTACGTTACGGCGGCGGAAAGAAAATCATAGAAAACGAGATGCCAAGTGAAGACCGATAAAATTGATTTTTTTTTTGATTTTGTCAAGAATCTCTCGATGTATAGGGGAAGCAGCAGAACAGATTTGACGCAAATATTCATTATATGGACAAATGATAGACTTATAAATTCTGGTGAGAAAAAAAATGTCTAGCACGATACAGTGGACGAACTAACCTAGCTGCAAACCTAGCACTTGATTCGATATAATCGTTCCAATTCACGTTAACGAAACGTTAGACCGAGAAGGCGCAATGAGTTACTTCCCTTGGAGTTAGCACAGCCATAGAAGGCAAAATAAAGTTTCTCAAAGACGACATTCTCCAACTGTAATATCATCTTTCATTGTTTATGTTGGGATATTTGAGATGATGAATTATCATTATTATATCTTTTGCTATTCCAACCAGCATGCCATCTTGGTTGTTATAGTCACAACGTTTTAGCCTTTGTACTTTCCTGTCTTTTCATTTATCTGTCATCGTATTCCTGTGTACCAAATACAAATGCCGGCACGATTAAATTATTCCATTCACCCCCACATCCTTCACCGTCTTCGTGCTTAGTTAGTACAGCATGCTTATTATTTTTCAAGTAATTTTCTCCACGGCACGATTATTTTGTTTCAGTTTATTAATCTGATATAATGATTTCTGTTAAAACTTTTTTTTTGATCGGTCACGATAATTTTATAAATTCAAAAGTTGCAAAATTCATGAATATTCCAGACTCCCCTTTTATTTGTTGCAAAAGCGCATTCGGTAAGCCTCTCGGAATTTCGAACAAAGCTATTTATTCCCGCTGCAGGCATAGATCGTTTTCCGTCTTCTTTCCATTGTTAGGTGACATATTCTATCAGTTAATGTTCGCTAGTCTTACTCGATTTAGAGTGACGTGCAGGTAGTGTAACGGATGGCGGCTAGCAATGAAAAACAGGAGAGCCGAGTTCGAATTCTAGTCGAGTTCGTTACATTCATTTACACGCACCCTTGGGAAAGGTATAGATTCATCTCTTCTCCTTCCTATCTATGGTCTAAATAGTAGAACTTGTATCTGGAAAAATCGTAGTTATCGCAAAAATTTAATGCAATTTTATCTCGCGAAAAAAAAAAGAGAATTACTTGTATAATTCAAAATATGTTTCGGCTTTAAATAACCCGCAAAAGGTTAATAAGCCTTAAAAAACAACCAAAACAAAACAGCCAATCAAACTTTTGTGTGACTTATCCGTTTCTTTCACTGAAACAGAGTATATGACTTTTCATTACTATCAGATCTAGAGACTGAATTCGCAGGGAAACAACATGTTTTAAGCTGCACTTTAAATTTCCAATTGCTACAAAAGCAGAACTGTAACCGGTGAACACAAGTTATGTTCTTAAATAGAACTGTCAGATGGAAGCTTTAATATGGATGACATGCATGACGTCAAACTCGTTTAGAAATATATAAACAATCGCTTTCTCAGATCAATGTTTAAAATGGCTTCGATCGAATGAAAACAGTGGGTCTTGACGAAAACCATAATTCTTTGAACCTTGTGGACTAGCACTACAGAATCCCAAAGAAAGAACTGTACCAAATAACAAAAACTGCACAACCTGAGGACTTTCAACAACAGCAAAAAATAAATGAATATCACATGTAACTCGAAGACAATATAATAACATAATCAAGATGCTGATGTTCCATACCAGGGATCGGCAACCTTTTGCTACCTATGTGCTAACTTAGGGTTTTAAAATCATTCAGTGTGCCAACGGCATACATATTTTTATACAAGCCAAGGTCAATATACCTGTTCTACAGTATATTTCATATAGTAATATATAGTAATATATATATATATATACTTTAGTATATATTAAAATTGAAACAGCTAAATACCATTGCGTTGTAGTAGTTATTGGTTCGGACTTCATGATGTCATTTGCGGCTGCGTGTCATTGGAAATTGCTTGGCGTGCCACGTGTTGCACGCGTGCCGTACGTTGCCAATCCCTGCTCCCCAGTACTTCAAATAAAATATTAAGAAGGAAATACCTATCAGTGATAACAGCTCCTAGACTCGAGAAACCTATTTTCCTGAAAAATTGTTGTAAGAGAAGTATTTTATAAATTTCAACTGGACCAGTATATTTAAGTAGTTCCGAAGTATATTAATCGTTTTTGATTGGCTAATAATGAAGCTTGAGTAAGGGAGAGATTTTTAAAAAAAATCAGTAACTCCGGAAAAAGCCTCAAGAGAAATTCTTACCTGCTTCGGACACCTGCAATATCATTTGCCCCTTTGAAAGACTGAAGAATGCGCACAATCTGCAGATTTGTCTTTAAGGGATATTCCTGACCAGTTAAATTAATAAAGTATTTCCAGTCCTTGTACTTTTGAAGCAAGTCTCTCATGCACACCAGTTCGGCCTCCGTCTCGGAAAACTTGCCCCACTCGACGTCGACCAGACGCGATGCGACGATGACATTTGGCAGACAACGAACAATTGCACGGATATCGCTAATCACTAAAGGATTGGAACTTCGGTCCACATGAATACAGTAATAGTTGTGTGGCCGATAGATGGCGCGTAATAGGTTCTCGACTTGGACTGCCTCCTTGTAGAGAACAATGCTGTAGGCAAGCGGAAAAGCGCGCTCCTCTTTTGTGACGTTATTCATGGTCGTGTATCTTCCTTGGAGTCGGAAGTTTGTGCAGTTCTTGGCCAACGTCCTGGCGTATTCACCATCTTCTAAAATCTTTCTAGGGTGTAATGCTGTGTACTCCTCCGCTTCTTCCACTGCTCCTGGCTCCTAAAAAATAATTATATTATTATTAATAGTAGATTTAGAAATGTTCTTACAATTAATGCTAAAAGCAGTAGCAGCAGCAACAACAACAACAACAACAACAACAACAGCAGCAATAATAATAATAATAATAATTTTAATAGATTCCATAGACTCATTGAAGGGATTCCTGGGAACCCATGTCTTAAAGAAATACAAAAAATTCTGTCTATATTTTTGAGATGAGGTATTATGTACATTATTTACATTATTCGGACTATTGTCCTCATCTTTGTCGCCATATTTATTACATTTCGGCCGTTGTACGCTCCGGCCTTCTTCAGTATCTGTCTATATTTCTGAGAGGAGGCATTATGTACATTATTTACATTATTCGGACTATTGTCCTCATCTTTGTCGCCATATTTATTACAACATTTCGGCCGTTGTACGCTCCGGCCTTCTTTAGGTGGTTGAAATGTCGAACTGAACCCTTTATTTCGCTCACGGGGGTAGACAGTGGATAAAGGCGTTAGTTAGGTCCAGTGACAGGACCCAAAGAGTGTGAGTTCAATACCTGGCTAAGGCAGTGGAGAACCTTCAGAGGGAAATTAACAGGAGATAACTGATAATTGACATCCATTAAAAACATGTCACGTGGAACTAGAACAGTCTACCCCAGTGAGCAAAATAAAGGGTTCAGTTCGACATTCTAACCACCTGAAGAAGGTCGGAGCGTACAATGGCCGAAACGTTGTAATAAATATGGCGACAAAGATGAGGACATTAGTCCGAATGATGTAAATAATATACAGAAAATTGTTCTCACGAGTACATTTCATACCTTACGAAGGGCTCTATCTATGTAAAATATGTGTTTTTTTTTTAATTGGTCAGTGAGAAATGTCATGATGCCATTTCTAACCTTAGTTCTCTGTGCGGGACCCGGAAAGAAATGAGTACACACCAGAAATAAAAAAGAAATAAGATAATAATAGTAACAGCTAGGAAGACCCCTGAAAATTTCACGGGTTTCCTATTTGAATTTTCTGGTGAATCTTAATTCTTCAGTTAATGATTGAATAAGCTCATGGCGAGTTCTGCAACAATAAAATATCCATAAAAATCCTCCATATCGCATCGTTAAATATTTGAGTTCAACAACTTTAACAAAATATTGTAATAACAATCATAAATATGAATGCTGGTCGTTATTTTAAGAAGTAAGGGGGTACAAATGAAAAGATCTGAAACTGACAACTTTGTTTCCATTTTACTGAAACAGACGTTTAACATTTTTATCTTTCTTTTTTATTTTATTCATTCATTTTCTCACTGAAACCAAGTAGTGTCTTTTCCCACTCATTTCCTACGATCAAAACGGAATAGTCAGTTATTTATGAGCAATTAGCGGAAGATGGTAAACGCTTCTATTACCCCTTCCTTCTTTCTTTCTTTCTTTCTTTCTTTCTTTCTTTCTTTCTTTCTTTTTATCGCTGAAACGAAGTAGTGTCTTTTGCCCTCTTTCTCCGAGATCAAAACGGAATAGTCTGTTATTTATGAGGTATTGACAGGTCGTAACGGTCGTGCAAATTATCGAAGGGTGGGGCAAGCACAATTATTATTGGAAATTACTGGAGAATTAAAAGCCTTGAAACGACAACATTACTAAAAAAATCTTGTAAATTTCAGTTTTCCAATTTGAATTTTCTGATAACTCATAATTTTTAATTTAACGATTGAATGACCACAGGAATTCCAATATTGCATCATTTCATATTTCACCTTAAAAACTTGAACAAAATATTGTAGTAACAATCATAAATATGAATAGACGTCATTATTTAAAGAAGTAAGAGGGTACAAATGGAAAGATTCAAAATTGACAAGGTTTTCCATTTCATTGAAGCAGACGTTAAACACATGAGAGCATTATCACCTCCTATATCTTCCGTTTTTTTCTTCCTTACTTATTATTTTGTTTCTTTCTTTCTTTTTCTCACTGAAATCAATAAAACATCTATGATATATCTTTTTCTTCTGTCTTTCTTTGCAATCAAAACAGAATGGTACATTATTTATCTGAGGTAATGGCAAAGTGTAACGCATATACTAACTTACTCGCTTACTATCTAATGGGAGAATAAACAGAAATATAACATGAGATATGAAAGATGCACTCAAACTGAACTGACAACTATATGCTGTGAATTCTTAAGTTAATGATTAAATAAGATCCTTGTGAGTTCTATGACTATCAAATACTCATGGAAATTCCCCGTCTGCATCATTAAACATTTAAATATATGAGCTTAATAAATTAACAAAATATTACAATAAAAATCATACGTATGAATGCAGGTCTTTATTTAAAGAAGTAAGAGGGTACAAATGAAAAGATTAAAAATTGACAAGGGTTTCCATTTCACTGAACTGGATTAGACGTTAAATTTAATACCGACTTCTCTAGCTCCCAATTCATTCTTTCTTTTTTCTTTCTCCCTTCTTTTTCTTTCTTTCTTACTCTATTTCTTTCTTTCTTTCTTTCTTTCTTTACATGCTTTTCCATTTCACTGAACTGAATTAGACGTTAAATATATTGCCGATTTCTCTAGCTTCCACTTCTTTCTTTCTTTCTTTCTTTCTTTCTTTCTTTCTTTCTTTCTTTCTTTCTTCGTTCGTTTTTCTTTCATTCTTTCTTTTTTCTTTTCTTTCTTTCTTTCTTTCTTTTTTCTTTCTTTCTTTCTTTCGTTTTTCGTTCGTTCTTTCTTTCTTTCTTTTCTTTCTTCTTTCTTCTTTCGTTTTCTTTCGTTCTTTCTTTCTTTTTCATTCTTTCTTTCTTTCTTTCTTTCTTTCTTTCTTTCGTTCTTTCTTTCTTTCTTTTTCTTTCGTTCGTTCGTTCTTTCTTTCTTTCTTTCTTTCTTTCTTTCTTTCTTTCGTATTATGTATGCTTTCTTTTTCTCACTAAAACCAGTGGCATATTCCAAAACCCGTGCAAATTATTAAAAACAGGAAAATTTCATTAGAAACAAAGAAAAGGGTACTGAACTGTTATGAAATATCGATCCATCTATATGGCAGGGAATGCTGGACAATCCGCACTGAAGGATGCGGAGTCACAGGGAAGTTTTAGAGAAAAAATGGGAACGAAAAGGACATATACTTAACATCAAGGACAGACAGTTGAAATTTCTAGGTCACAATAACGAGAAAAGAAGGCTTGGAAAATTTGACACTCACTGGACATATGGAATGCAAGAGAGACAGATGGAAGCTACCTAGCGAGCTTGAGTAAGTGGATGGCAGAGTAGGGATTAGGAAAAATAGCAAAACGATAATATTTACTAAGAGCTACAAAGGATGGGAAATTGTGGAGAGCCGTGATCGCCCACATTCTGAAGGGACACAGCGCACAAAAGAAGAAGAAGAAGAAAGGCAGGGTGTAAAGCATGTGCTGACTTACGACGAAACACGCCGAATTAGATTATGATATTGATGGTAGTGTTGGGATACTGTTGCCATTTGATCCCTAACGAAACTCGCCTGATATGGTGGTTTTCTAAGTGTAGCTTAGATGTGGACACAAATCCGAAATTATGGGGCACTCAGTGAGGATCGAACTCACTATTCAGTCGTAACTGATCTAGCGTGGCAAGCTTGCTAACGATTACACGACGTCGAAGGGTCCGAAAACTCTCTTGATATATCTGGTGTAAATGTTTTCTGTTTTTCATTATCAACTTTATTCTTCAATTACATTTCATTCAGATATATACCCACCATTATTTGCAATGTTTTATTGTCCAGTTTTCAGGCCAATAATTGGAAAATTTGCAACTTCTACAGGAAGGAAACTGAAAAAAAAACTGGTTTGAACACCACCCAGGCCCGGTTACGGAGATAGGACCTGTTACAATTCTATGGAACTACACAATACACACTGACAGAACAATAAAAGCCAACCGCCCAGACGTTGTTATTAAAGACCAAAAAGTGCCTCCTTATTGATATGGCAGTCCCTGATGACTGCAATGTATCTTTGAAGATATTCAAAAAGCTGTCAAAATACAAGGACCTTGAAATAGAAATCTCAAAAATGTGGCATATGGGAACATCAACAATCTCTGTTGTAGTTGGAGCCCTAGGAATGGTTGGAAAAAATTCCAGTAGACTAATCGAAAGGATTCCTGGAAGTCCATGCCTCAAAGAGATACAAAAAATTGTTTTAACAAGTACAGCCCACACTTTACGAAGGGTTTTATCTATGTAATTTTTTTGTCAGTGGAAAGTGTCATGATGCCATTTCTAACCTTAGGTCCCTGGGCGGGACCCGGAAAGTAATGTGTAAACGCCAGAAATCAAAGAAAATAAAAAAAAAAAAAATAATAATAATAATAATAATAATAATAATAGGACCTGTAACAATTTTATGGGTCTTTAAAATACACACAGACAGAATAATGAAAGCTATTGTGATCAAGGAAGCATAGCGGCTTGGATTGAAGAATCGGAGGGCCGAGATCGAATTCCAGTCGAATCTATTACATTCACTTACGTGCCAATACCCTTGGGAAAGGTATGAATCCTCTTCTTCTCCCCGCCCCGCTATGAGTAAACAGCAGGACAGACCGGGTTCTATAGCCTTGGATGGCAACTGGTCTACCGCAGAAAGAACTGGCAACCTACTGCGGGAAAAAATCTGCCTCGTCAGTCATGTATCACGCATGGCACATAACTGACTGATTTTGATCAAAGACCGCAAAAGCAGAAGGCACTTTCTTATTGACATGGCAGTTCGTGCAGACTGTGTCTTTGAAGATAATCAAAATCAAGAACTATCAGAACTTGAAATGGAAATCTGTGGTACATGAGGACATCAATAATTCCGATTG